ATATTAATAATACATATCTTATCTACATTATTTACAGAATAAACATTTTGGGAGGAACAGAAGGCAGACGTGGGGACGGGGAGATCAGGGTCATGAGGGGGAAAATTACTTCGATCCTCACCACCACTATACTCAGATTTTCAACACAACATTTTGTGCCTCTGCCAGAACAAGGTTCTACAGTAGTGACCACAGGTCTGCTAAAGGTAATCGGAAGTTGTTTGAGAACACCAAATTTCTTCCAACGTTGTGTTCTTGGAAAAGGCACTTTTCGTAAATTTCCCATTTTGGCTCGGTCCTTTCGGAGATGGACGTTAAACTCAGAGGTCTCACCTCTAAAATAACCTAAAAGTGTTGTTGGGGGTGGAGGGGGGGGGGGGTAAACCTTTACTCTTTCACAATTTTTCATTCACTGTTGGTGTTTGGCTTTTTTCGCCTCCATCGACACGATTTAGACCATATAGGAGACTGGCTTTTGAGGGCCAACCCGTGCTGAGAAGGAGACAACATCCCGACAGTTAAAGACCTAGATATTCGATAAAACGCAACGTACTCTTTGTGTTATTGCAAATATAACCCCAGTATGAAACGGCACAACGTTGTATTCGGCTCATCAATAGAAAAAATAATTAAAAATATCCAAAAAAGATTATTTGATCTTAAAAATAAGTAGAACATATTTATTTTTCGAGTAAATCTACATTATATAAAAAATAACGATATTATATTAAGTTATCTACATAAAGCTGATATTGGTCTGCAACATTTCATCAACAGGCAACAAATTAATAATATACTAATATTATGGAAGATCGTTGTACGATGTAGGGATTTTCGTGAACATTCATGAGCGACTTTTGGAATGAGTATAGAGTGATATGTATAATATTCTTAAGAGACCGTCTTTTCGCAGGGACAAATTGTCACAAGAACACTAGTAAAAAGAATCCCCCCCCCCCCCACACACACACACACTCACAAAGAAAACAGAAACCAAAACAAAAAAACAGACAAAAGGTAAATAAATCGCTAAAAACAAAAACAAATGGAATTGTTTATAAAAATTGAGCAGTCAAAAACCATTCACTCCTCACTAATAACGTTGGACCCAAGAACACCTGGAATTTGGCATTGAACGAAGAAGGCAACTGATGGAGACAAGAGTCACAGCAGGCTGATAACGTTGACATTGTATATATATATACAAAATGTATATAGTATAATTATAGGATGACGTGGAATTCTAGATCTAAGACATCTCGACTCCCTA